TACGACTTCTTCCTTACTCGTACAGGGCACAACCTTCTTTCTCGATCTTTCCTGTTTTCTCTTGTTCGTTCTCTACTTTGGTTCTAATGAGGAGTAATACGACTCTTATGTCTTAACGTAAGCGGTGCTTATCCTTCGTGCCTATTCAATTAACTACCACTATTATTATTATTATTATTGTTATTTATTTATTTTCTTAACTTGCTGTTATTACATATATTTGGAGAGGAAATAAAATGGATGAAAGATTTAAATCAGTGGTTGCTGATTCTTAATATAACTATTGTATTTCCTCCACTTTCCTCTTATCCAATTATATTTTTGAGGAATAACAAGTCAAAATCAATAATTTTTGTTATCCTTTTTGTGCTTTATAAAAGCTCCGTTCATTTGTTCTGTCATTTCAGAACTTTTCTTGTCTTTGTCGAAAAATATTTGCTTTATATTTTTTGCACATAGATGTGCTGCCTGTTTATTTTCTAGAGAGATTTTGATATTACCTTTCAGATAGAGGTGAATGAATTTGAGGACGTTTCTATCCTGGCATCAAATATGGTTTGGGATAATTCTCTGTCATACAGATTTGAGGAAGCTGTTCATTCCTTGGAGAGAAGTCTCTGCCAGGTGCATATTTTTTAAAACTTCTTTATTTTGCTATTTTTTTTACTTTGCACTAATTCTTCTTGACAACCGACATGTGAGCCTTGAGGATTTGCTTGTACTTTATTAGAAGTGAACTATTTATGTATGAGAGGATTACTCACTGTTTTGATTGTATTGGTTTATTTTCTTAAATTTTTTTATAGCTTTATGATTGGCTGGCAACTTAGTTTCGAACTCCACCTTCACATTTTGGATTTGTATCGGCAACCATGGATTAGCCATGGTTAGCTGATAATAATATGTGAGGATTACCATTTTTAAAATTTCAATATCTTAAATAGTTTTTTTGAAGTAATGATAATGAATAATAATTAAATTAACTTAGCTGATAATAATATGTGAGGATTACCATTTTTAAAATTTCAATATCTTAAATAGTTTTTTGAAGTAATGATAATGAATAATAGTTAAATTAACTTTTCTTGAACAACTTTTATGTGCATCATTTCTTACGTGCAAAGTATAGCTACATGCGTATGTCAAAAAAGTTCTCGATTTGCACGTAGCTTAATTATGCAAATCTCTTTCATGTAGTGATATAGGCAATATGGTTGTTGACATTGGGTTATTTTAATGTTTTGGACAAGTTGGCGTAGTCAATTTTGCAAATGAGGGAGAATTGGTTATTTTTTGTAGGGTGACACATTTTGAAATGGACTTATGTGATATTGCTTCTGTCAATGGTTTTCTTTGTTGTGATCAATTGAGTTGATTTGTGGAATAATTATAGAGGTCATTATTGGTCAGCTAGAGTAGTCAACCCACTTGATAGAAGGATTATTATGGTTCCATCATTCAAGCAGGCCTTGTGGATCTTAGGTGAATTTTTCCCAAGGTGTCCATTTTAAGTTACCTAGGCTAATTTAGAGCCTTGTGCCCCATCAAATGGGTCTTGTAATTCACAGTTCATTACTAAGCATCAAGGAACATTTGGGCTTTGGCCTCTACTATGATATTGTGATATCATTTTTCTGCAAAGCACGTTGTATGAGGGCACATGCATATTTTTAATTGTGTATCAGTGGATACATTTGACATGACATTGGCCACGGCCGGAACTGCATTGGTCCACCATAAAAATTTGACCCACACCTACCCTTTATTTATGAGAGAGTTATTTTAATAAATTTGCCCTCCCTTTAATCATCCCCACACTTCTTCCTTATCTCTCCTTGCCACCCCAATCATGACTCGAGAGAGTAGGGACTCACACTCAGCAACAACAACCACACTTAGTGGCCGCAAGCCCTAGGCATTCGTCAGCATTTCCAGTTTCCAGTTTTCACAAGAACCCTCACACCATCACAGACAACTACCTCACTCGTCAACCAAATGTCTCTAAGGCTATCCAAAAAGCTTTTCGTTTGCAAAAAATTCAGGTTTGACTCGTTAAATAGCTCTTATTTGATTCATTCGATAAACAATCAAGTTGAACATGAACAATTTCCTTGAGCTTAATTTATAAACGAGGCGAACTCAAACAATGATTTATTCGTTCGTGTTTTGGTTGTTTTAGCTCGAAATAATTAAATAATAATATTTATTTATATATTTTTTATATTAATTTTAATATGTATTTAAAAATGTTAAATTTTATCATTTTTAACATATATTTGGGTTGTATAATTATAAAAAGTATAAGTTTAGGTTTTAGGTATGTAAATACATAGCATTTGGGCATATGAATGTAAATGTTCCTAAAGTAATAGAGCTCTTCTGCTATAAAAAAACTAATTTGGTGTCAGAGATTTAAAGAAATAGCATTTGAGTGGTATGTATGTAAATCCCCCTAAAATAATCGAGCTCTTCAGTTGCATGAGGGAAATGACCGGGACGATAGGACCCCACCCCATATTCCGCAATGCTGGCGAAGCACTCATTACTCGTTAGTCTCACACTGGGAATGGAGGTAAGTTATTGTGAGAAAAGCTTTATAAAAGAAGCTTTACATCTCCAACGCAAGCCATTTTGAATAGTGAGCCCCGTGGAACTATTAGATCTGATATTTGTTAAGTATACTCATTAAAAGCAATTTTTTTATTTTCTTAAATTTGAGCCGAACACAAGTTTGTTTTGAACAAATGAGCTTGAATCGAGTCAAACACGAATATGCTATTGTGAGCCAAAGTAAAAAAAAAAGAAAAAAAAAGAATAAGCCGAACACAAAAATATTTGGGCTCGCACAAGTTCGGCTTGTTTACACCCTTAAATTCTTCTACTCTCAATGTATTTATTTTCAGTGTGTTTTCTGACTTCATTTTCTCACTTGGTTCATTATTTTGCTTGATTTAATTCGTTGAAGCAACTTTTGAGTTTTGGCTTTGTTTATTTTTTTGCTTTCTATCTAGTTTTAATTGTTTGAGAGGTCTGCTTATATATTTTGTAGAGTAAGAATCTTGATTTAAGCTAAGTATCTTTTCTTGAACATTTTATTTATATGAACTTAACCTTACCAAGAAACATTTTATCAAATGCACAAAACGGAATGAAATTCAACTATTATAATTTGCAAATAATATCTCCATAATTAATACAAAATGGGACGTATGCGCATGATAGGGAATCATGTTCAGGCGAACAACACGTGATATTATGCATTTTCTCGAGATCGTAGGAACGGATAGGACTCCACCTGTGGGAATTTTCCATGCACGCAGGAACCAGGATGGATGAATTGATGGTTGACTGCTCTAGTCTTTGAGTCACCTCTCTTTGATCATTTGTTGGTTTTATTCAATTTTTTCGATTTTTATTTCTTAAGGCATTGAATTCAAATGGAGTTTCCTCTGATTATGACGTCATTTTGAATGTCGTAATCGAGAATATAACCTAATATTAGTTGCCTTGCAATTAAAGGACATTATAATAACAAGATCTTTTTTTTATTGTGGTTTGCGATCAATGTAGCCATCAGTGCTTGAGCTCAAACTATCTTGTCTTAGAATTTGAGGGCATTATGATAATAGCATTCCCTCTAATTGGTATTTGCAATCATCACGGCCATGAGATATGTTAAATTTCTTATGTTCATTTGTTCAAAAATATTGAGATGTTATTTAGCCATTAATCTTATCGGCTCAACCCTAATTTTGTGATGTATTGGGCTAAAAAGGTAGGACTTGTGATGTTGTCTTATAGATAGGGTAATCTTTTCTAGAGCATGTGTGCAACATGTCAATGAGTTTATATTTGAAATATATTTTAAGTTTTCTAGCATCCTTCTTAAATCAATTGCATAATTTATGGAGCAACATAATTTAAATTTATATTTGCTGCAAGGAATTTAAATTTATATTTGCTGCAAGGACTATGCACAACAATTTGAATTTGTCATAATTTTGATTTTAATAGAATAGCATGCTTACTAAGTGATTCCGAGGGTATGGTTCTTAAAATTTGAGCACGCTAAGAGGACATGTACGCAATAGTTTGCTTTTCGATAGGCTATGTGCTTTAGAAGAGCTTGCATGTGTTTCAGTGTCTTTGTATGAAAACGAGTTTACATCGTGCGATGCTTGCATGATTAGAAAACCATTCAGTTTTTGCTTATGCCTCTTTGTTGATGAATACATTCTTGTAAACATGCATTCGTAGCCTTTAATTTTGTGTTTGTCTGATCTCACTCTATCCATAGTTTTTATTTAACGAGACCTCGTAGTGTTTAAACTTGTTGTTTATAATTCTGTACTTTGAGAGGTTAGTGACAGTTCACATTCGTGCTCGTAGGTGAATTGCTGAGAGAACGCTAAGTCCACTTTCGATTCAACTTTGTTTTTTTATGTAATTTTTTTTTAATATTTTATATATTTTTGTCATTACAGTCTAGAAGCTTATTTTGTTAATTTGTTATTTTTTTGTTCATTTAGGTAAAAAAATTGATGACATTTTGATGCCAATGCCATAAAGGGAGCATTTTAGGTTATGGTAGACTTACCTATCATGCCTAAAAGGTTATGCAAGATTGAGGTTAAAAACATCACAACTGGTTTAAACCATCATGTCCAAAAGGGACGCACGCACACACACACACACACACACACACACACAG